GACTACATCCCGTGATATAAAAGTGGATTTGGTGTTAAGGTCAAGAACCTTATAGCCCTTGATGCCAAAAGGATAGCCAAGAAATATACACATACGACCTCGGGGATCAAACTTTTTCCTCCCATGAGGAAGTGTAGTTGCAAAACAGAGAGAACCAAAAATTTTCATGTGTGCATAAATGGGTTTTGAATTAAACAAAAGTTCATAAGGGGTCTTGTTTTGAAGAAGGGGACTAGGGGTCCTATTGATTAAGTAAGTGGCTGTCAAAACACAATCACTCCAATATTCAAGAGGAAGACCAGCTTGTATTTTTAAAGCTCGGGCTACATTAAGCAAGTGTTGGTGTTTTAGTTCCACAATACCATTTTGTTGGGGGGTGGCAACACAACTTCTTTGATGTATGATTCCTTTGTTGTTAAAAAAATCCGTCATTTGGAATTCACTTCCATTGTCACTTCTTAAAATTTTGATTTTAAGGTCAAATTGAGTTTCAATCATGTTAGAAAAAGAGATAAGACAGTTTCTGGTTTCAGATTTGGTTTGCAAAAGGTATAACCAAGTGGTTCTAGTGAAGTCATCAATTATGGTTAGAAAAAATTTGGAACCATTATATGCAACAGTGGAGCATGGTCCCCACAGGTCACAGTGTATAATTTCAAAGGGTTTTGAGGTCTTATGTTGATTGTGAGGAAAAGGCAATCTATGGAGCTTAGCCAATGGACAAATGCAGCAAGGTTTTGTATTAATAGATGAAACATCTTTCTTTACAATGGGATCTGTGATCAGATTGATACATGTAAAGGAAGGATGACCTAGGCGACAATGCCATAGGTCAATAACATCTAATTTGTTGAAAATAGAAGCTGAACTAGTGAAAACAGTAGTAAAGAGAGTGGAAAGTTTATTAGCTAAAAGGGAAGGAAAGACTGCAGTCTTCAAGAGGTGATAGAGGCCACTCCTTACTTCACCCTGTCCAATCGTTGTCCAAGATAAAAGGTCCTGAATAAGACAACAATCAGAAAAGAAAACTAGACAAGAAGTGAGAGATGCAGTCAATTTTTTTGCAGAAATTAAATTGAACTGAAAAGATGGTATGCACAAAACTTCATGCAGAGAAATGGAAGGAGTGAGTTGGACAGTGCCAACGTGGGTGACAGGGGCCTCAGTACCATTTGGCATTTTAACAGAATAATTAACATGAGCAGTGATGGTGGTGAGCAAAAAGGTGCAGCAGACCATGTGGTCGGTTGCACCTGTATCAATAATCCAAGGAACATTAGTGGAGTGAAGTGGAGAGTGTGTGCATGTAGAGAGACAAAAACAAATACCAGAGAGATTAGGTTGTGGATTAGGTAAGGTGGCAGAAGTGAAGTTGGACTGAATCTGATGAGGGGGAGATTGAGCAGACAGTGTCCTTGGCTGAAGTAAAGCTAGTAGTTGCTGATACTGAGCTTGAGTTAAACCCACTCTTCCATCACTAACTGTTAGAGTCATGAAAGTGACTCTATTTTGGTGATTAAAATACCCCATTTGTGATTAAATTGAAGTATATTGAGACAGTTAAAGAATTTATGAATTTATTCACGAAAATCGCTTCTTAATATTTTTCTTATGAATTTAAAATATTTGGAATGATTTTGGAAAGTATATGAGTTGATATTAGGTTGTGGTTTATGGATTAAGGGTGATTTTGTCTCATTTATGCTGTTTAGGGGGTAAAATGTCATGTTTTAAGGGGCTGATTTTGTCACTTTTTAATTGTGTAGGGACCAAACTGATATTTTGCAATTTGTTCTATAAAAGAAAAACGCAGTTTCGCGTGAAAAGGGAGGTTGTTCACCCAGTTTTCCGGCGACCCTTCGTCTCCCTCCGGCGACCCTTCGTCTTCCACCTCTGGCGACTCTTCGGCTTCCTCGACCACAGATCACCGTCAGCCCATCGTCCTGGACCACCACCGCGAAACACGGAAGCTGCCACGACGTTTCATCTTCCCTCCACCGCATCGTTTCATCTTCCCAGCCAGTTTCGACCGTTTTTCGGGTACGATTCTGCTCCCCAAGGGTCGATCCACCTTCCCCACAGCCAGATCTACACTTTCCTAGCTTCAGCCGTCGCGAAAACCGCCAGAATCCGCGATTTAGCCGTCGCGACTCTTCATCTTCCAGGCCAGATCCTACTCATTTCCGACGACTTCTCACCTCCCCAGGACCTGATCTGAACTCCCCATCACCAGAGCTTTCCATCGGTACCTTCGGATCCCATTTCTGCCACCGTTTTTCGGAGACCCGTCGGAAAATTAACGTTTTTCGGCGAACCACGGCTGTTCGTATTCCGGGCTGTCCGTTGGTCGTTTTTGGCCCTTCTTTGTATCATATCACTGTCGGTTACCTCCTCTTCGCCATGATCAGCTCCGTTTCCACTGTTTTAGCCTCCGTCATCACCACCATGAGCGGCTGAATTCCTGATTGTCCGTTACGGTGTAGGCGAGATCGAGATTGACTCCACTGATCTCCTCATCAACTCTCGACTAGTTGGATGAGCCCGAATGTTGGATATTTGGTTAAGTTTCTTGTATTCAGATTATATTTGTTTTCGTTTCAGTATGTTTGCGATACTTTAATATTATTCTGATACTCGACGTGTTGAATTGACAATGTCCATTGAAAACGTTTATTGATATATAACTTTTTGCATAATTGAATGTTGGTTTGAGATTATTGAATGTTGATTATGACTTTAAATTGCTTCAGTACTGATTGCAATCAAGTTGTAGTAGCGTTTAATATCATTTCTACTAGGAATGCATTTATTGTGTAATTAGTTGATTGGATGATACAAGTTAGTAGGTTGTACTTGTTAACGTTGTACCAACTAGTGGTGTTTAAGGGTTTAGCATTTTTCGGTTAGTCAATAATAGTCTTTAACCAATCGATCTGTAACTAAGACGACAGGGAGACAGGATAGATTATACCTAGATTGCCGAGAGATATTTTTATTGATTTGCCTAGCCTTGTAGGTTTAGGAAATTGAAGAGCGAGAAGAGGAATTGTGAGAGTTGGTCTTGAGTCAAACCAAACCCATAGCGGCAACGCTTTTAATATTGTGTTTTAGTTAGCAATTTATTTAATGCTTTTTAATTTCCTGCAAGTAATTAGTTTCCTTAATTTTAATCAATCATTCTGCCAATTTCTCTTTCGTTAACTCAAATGCACATTAGGTCGTTAGTCTTGCTCTCTGTGGATTCGACCCTGCTTACCACTAACTACGGTACTTAGGTTTAATTTTATGACCGTGACGACCGGTCTAACACTAACCTCATCAAGGTCAGAGGCATTAGACAATTTATTATGTGTAACAAGAGCGGCAGAACTGGTGTTTTTGTTGAAGAACTTATGACCCGGTGGATAGCCATGCAATTTGTAGCACCTCTCCATGGTGTGACCAGACAAATTGCAGTGAGAACAGATAGGGGCTTCTACATTTCCAACTTTAAAACAGGTCTCAAATGTGTGACCAGAAATCTTACAATGGGTACAATAGGCACGGTCTTTCTTAGGGGTAAATTTGGTCAGAGTGTATGGCTTAGCAGGTTGGATGAAAGGTCTTTTGATGGCTAAGGCCATTGAGTCAGGGGAGGGGTTAGGGGGAAGGAGTTGATGTTGGCGCTCTTGTTGTTGGATGAGGGAGAAAATATTGCTCACAGGTGGGAGAGGGTCTAACATCATGATTTGGTCACGTACATTAGAATAGGTATCATGTAAACCCATAAGAAATTGAAAAACAGAGTCACGTTGATATCTATCCAGGAGAGTTTTCGAAGTTCCACAAGTACACACAGGGATCGGATCGTAAATGGAAAGCTCATCCCAAAGAGTTTTAAGCTTACCATAATAGATACTGACAGAGTCTGCGTCTTGAACAAGGCTGGCTAAGGTTTTCTTTAGCTGGAAAATCCGAGGACCATTCTGATGAGAGAATCGAGCTTGAAGATCAAGCCATATGTCACGCGCATCATCAACGAACACCACGCTGGATTTGATTGAAGAGCTGATGGAGTTTTGAATCCACGACACTACCATGTCGTTGCAACTCTCCCAGAGCTCAAGGAGAGGGTCTGTAGGGTCGATGGGTTTGGGGATATCTCCAGAGATAAAACCTAATTTATTTTTGGCACGAAGGGCCTGTCGCATAGCACGCGACCAAGTGATGTAATTATCTGTGGTGAGCAAATCGGTGACGAGAATAACAGCAGGATTGTCGCCGTTATCTAGCTGGAAGGGATTACCGGGATCACTGAGGTTCAGGTAACGAGCCAGTTTAATGGCACGAGGGTCGGGTGGGTTGCCGGAGGATTGTTCGGCGTGGGTTGAGGATGAATCGGCTGAACTTTCGAGAGGATCTTCCATGGAGTTGGTGCTTAGGCTCTGATACCATGTAAGATGGTAAAGCAGAGAAAAAGCCGAATAATAGAAGTCTGGAAAAGGTGAAAATCGTGTATTTCTTATTCTTGCAGACGATTACAAAAGGCAACAATATAAAGGCACTGTACACCAACAAACTAACAGAAAACAGTTACAGAAAAGGACGAGCTAATTTACAGAGAGGATTAACAAAGAATAAAAGAATAATAAACAAAAATACAGCAAGAAGTTAGCCTGTATCCAACCGACATGTAGCTGCAGTAAACCGACATGCAGCAGCTGCCTTATCATGCAATATGTACTTTAGTTTTTGCTCCCTGATTGTCTCTGTTTCATTTTCATCTGGTTTGTTTCAAAGCTAAAAAACATAAAACATAAGGAAACTATATATATGCTCATACTTAACTATTTGGCAAACTATTGGCTATGGCATTAGGAATGAACTTAGGCTTATTTGATAATCTGTGCTGGTACAGTGCTACTTGTCTCTTTCATGCAGCTAGGACCTGATCTCAATAATCAGATTTCATTATCTGATTTAGTTTTTGAAAAGCAGACCATCACGTTTAAAACCTAATAATGGACCTGGTTAAATGACAATTCTGCTCCCTCTATCGGTTATGAAAGATTCCTAGGATCGGAAAAGATCTAGAAAGAAAACTTTCTAGGGAAACAAACACAAACAGAGAGAAAAAAAGCAGAGAAATGTAAAATTTCATAAATGAATTTTTTATTAAAATGAGCTTAATACTAAACAAAGTCCACTCCGGCAATCCGTGTCAATCTGCCAGGCAAACAAACACACTTGCAAGGGTTACAAGTTACTGCAATAATCACTGTAAGAATCTCTAACTTTTTTGCTTGGCTCTCCTCAGATTAACACAAAAGCTAAGACACTAAGAAGACTCTATTAACGTTGTTTTCCTTAATTGGACTGATGTAACATATAATTAAGTTGCTGACATGTTTTAACAGGAATTTGTGAATCAAGTGCTGGAGATCATTGAGCTTGATGAAATTAAGGATGCCTTAGTTGGCGTTCCAGGTGTTAGTGGTCTATCTACTGAGCAACGTAAGCGGCTTACCATAGCTGTCGAACTTGTTGCCAATCCCTCTATAATCTTTATGGATGAACCTACAAGTGGTTTAGATGCACAAGCGGCAGCAATTGTCATGTGAGCTGTGACAATTGTTTGCAATATTCACCAACCAAGCATCGACATATTTGAAGCATTTGATGAGGTAAAACAAATTTCTAAGTTACTTTAGAAATGTAAAATTAGAATTTGTCTGTGAAATTATAATTTTAGTACAGCTGAATAATACGATGCTTCAAACATTTTATAGATTAATTGTAAGATTTTTCTTGCTATCAGTTTATAATGTTAATATGCTTTTATTGATGCATAACCTTTGTATTTTTAGTGCAGTTGCTCCTTTCATGTAGGCTTATAGAGTTTTTTGAGGTTAGTTTCCTATCAATATAGTTGTCCTATAATATGCTGAGTAATAATACTTTTTCCAAATGAAATTCAAAATTTCTCATCCCAAAATTATGTGTTATCTCATGTGACGTTGACATATCATTTAATACATGAACTCCTCATGTACACATCAAAGCCGCATAAGGTAATACATATTTAGGATAGAAAATTTGGAATATCATTTGGCAAGAGTAGTATTCATAATAGGCTGCTCTGTGATTTTTTTTTTCATGCTCACTCAGTGTCAGTGTCACATGAATATTTGAACTATTGGTTGAGTCTATCTTTCTTGAAGAGAATGGGGAAAGGGTCCTGCATATATTTGATTTGGAATCCAAAATTATATTTGACAGAAATGGGCTATTGATTTAGTTTTGGGACCATGGATAGGAAATGTAATTTTGTTTGTTAATTATAAATTCCTGATTGAGGCAGAGCACCGAGCAACTATTTTGATGAATTGGACTAAAAAATTTCCTTGAATTAAATTAGTGATCACAAGAAGTTTTCTGGTTCCATTTCTTTCTCTTTATATTTGCTGACTATGCCTATTAAGACATAAAAATATTTCAAACTTCCAAAGTTTAATTTAACTTGTATACTTGACAGAAAACCATGCCAAGTTTAATGGCAAGGAATTGCCGTTTCCCTCTAATTATTATTTCAATTTAATTATTTTGTCAAAATTTCCATTGGAATAAATGTTATTTTTTTTCTTCTAATTATATATTCATATTCTATTTTAAGCATCAACTTTCTATATTCGATTTTCTTGTCTGAATTGTTCTCCTAAAAATAAATAAGTTTAATCTATTTTTTATAATGCGAAGTCTTAGGCCTAGAGGCCTTAAACTATTACCATGCTAGACTATGAGCAAATGTACAATATAATATAATTTTTTAAACATGAATACACTTAAATTTTCCGCTAATAATAACTTTAAGAACCACTTTTTCTACAGTTTGTTCAATTAAATTATTTTGCATTTAAGATGTTGTTCAAACACTTGTAGAGACTCTAAGGGTAAAGACTAAATACACTGAAAAGCTTCAATTAAAAAAAAAGTTAATTATCGTTGTGCGGTCAATCCAAAGAGGATTATTCCCTATTAGAAGAGAAGATATTTAGATTGACTCTATTGGAAGGAAAATATTCAGATTGACTTAGACTCTAACTAAGGTAGTTAAAGATCATGCAACTTCCTAATTCTATGTATTTGATTCTTATCTCAACTCTATCATGTAAATAGGTGTTATATGAACCCATCATAACTTGTTTTCAAAGGGGCTAGGCAATTGTTCTAAGCAAATTTTCCTAGAAATTATACTGTTCTTTGTAAGCTCTCAAAAGGAATAAGATAACAGTAGACGTAGGCTCAAGTTTTAACTTACCAAACCACTTTAAAAATCTCTTTACCATTTACTTTATTGCATTTATTATTTATCCACTGTTAGTTATCCGTAATCACGTGCACATCCATTTTGGTTCTGGCAAGGTCAATTGGAATTCTCTGGTTAGTGCAGATTTCTGTATCAACAATTATTCTTAATTTTGGTATAAAAATTAAACGACATAAATACCCTTAGGCCAATGACGAAGAAGAAAAAAAGAACAATATCTCTGAATTTATAGTGTAATAAATCCTAGCTGTTTTATTTTCTTGATTTTTTCTTCTTAATTATTGATTGAAATGCTTTTATATCGTTCAATTTCTTTTTTCTATTAAACTTCACAGAAGAATTTTTTTAATTGTATATTGAAACTTAAGTAATCTAAATTTAAAGAAACAGTGTCCGACAATTGATAAATACTCCTATTATTAAATATAAAAGTGGTGATATAAAACAATATTAGTAACATTTTTACGTTCCAAAATTAATATTGGTCGGTGTCGAAGGAGATTGCATGTGTGTGTGTGTGTTTTTTTTTTTAAATCCCGGGAGGTTAAGAACTAATCATATTAATTAATTTAATTAGTTATTAATTAAATTAATAAACAAAACTAAAACTTTGGAGGCATAGCCACAACAATCCTTAACAAAGAAAAAAAAAAAAAATAATTCTCGTTAATATATAGCCAGGATTTATTTTGCATGCATTAGTTGTGAGAGTACTTGAGGATAAAAGAATTACCAGGACTTTGCAATGAATGAATTTCACATGAAGAAAATATGTTTGATTTTCTGTCGTGTAAAATACTTGAGCTAAAGTGCATGATCAAATCACAAGCATAAGCTTTATGATTTTTTGATTTAATAAGTATGCTTCTATTTCTACATTTCCATAGAAAAATACGTTCTCTAAATTAAAATTGCATATATAAAGCAACAAGATTACACTTTTCAAACCATCAATTTGAGAATGAGATAAACCTGCTTCAACGGAATATTTTCAAGCTACTTTATATTTGTTTACCTTCCATCCTTTTATTTATTTCTTCTTAATTTAATTATATGTTAAAGACTACTCAGACAATAACATAGCCAATATAATTCTTTTTATAAGATATTGGAGTAAACTTAATTTAATAAAAGACCATTTGGAGACCATTTGTGGTCAAAGGCCTAATTGAGTTTCTTAAAGATAAGAGAGAACGTGATGAAAGTAAAACCAGTGAAGCTGGAAGGGTGGCAATGGAAGAAGAAACTACAACAAACATCAGAGAGCACCTGATGAAGGATAAGGATACAACAAATGTGCTCAAAGGCCTAATTGAGTTTCTTGAAAATAAGATAGAGCATGATGAAAGTAAAGCCCGTGAAACTGAAAGGGTAGCAATGGAAGAAGAATGTAAGCAACAGATTGAAGAAAATGCAATTGAAGAATGGACAATCATAATTGAATAAAGTGTAATATAGAGTTGAATGAAAAGAACATACATAACCTAAGAGCCAATTTGGACAGATTTAACATATTATTGTCACTTTTAATCAAGCCTTGTTGTGAGATTGTCATTAACTTATTTACTACATTAGTTTATCATTTGATTTTATTATAATTACAATTTTTTTTTTTAATAAGATGAGGTGTTGTGTGCACATTATATTCTATTAAAATTACAATAATTTTTTTAATGTATATTATTTCTCTTTATGATAACTACGTTTAGTGTATTTAACGAATTAAAATATAAATATTGTATAAATTTTTATTAAGCATGAGAAAAGCCAAATTAAAAATTCTGCCCAAAGACTCAATTTTTATCAAGGCACTCTGATACGATCACATTAACCAGAAGCTGATTTACAAGTTATAATATTTTCATATGGTTAATGTGTCACATCAACAATTACATTAATTTGCAAGAAATTAAATAAATAAACCGATTTTAGTAAGTACAATCCTATTAAAATTTTATTAATGTTTCAAAAAAATTTAATCTTCTTTTACTTAAACATTAATTTTTTTAGTTATGTGTTACAATGTAAAATTTGTTACACTTTAGATACGTTTCTGTTTCTCGATCTTCAATCTTTTACTTCGAAATTAATTTGTTTTAAAATATATTTGTTTTCTTTTATTTTAATCCGGAAAATGAATGCTTTACTTGAAATTTAAAATCCAACTTACACTTATTTGCATTAATATATGGTTTGTTCTATAAGTGAGTAAAATTAATTAAATTAAAATTAAAATATAATAAAATAAAGTTTTGAATTAAAAGATAAATATATACACTTAGTTATGAAAGCAGATCTAAATATTAGGGAAAGCAAGTATATAAGTAAAAAAAGGGTTTATTCTCAAGTAAAGGTTAGCTTAAGTTAGTTAAGTTTAACAGAATCTCCGGTAGTTAAGTTTTTGATATTTTGATTCGCAAATTATATTAATAAGATATGGATATTTTAAGGATGCATATTGTTGATACTTGATTTTGACACCAACTATTCGCATGTGTGAAGTGCTAAGCAGACTTAGAAATCACACGTGATATGAAAGTGCAAAATGTGAAATGGAGCGGGTAACAATTTTTAAAGTGGTTCGGATGCTCTAAGGCGAATCCTACATCCACTGTGATTATATTAATGGTTGGTTACAATTAGGTCATACTCAACAAGTAAGAATTACAATAGAGAAAATAAATGTGAAGAGAGACAAAGAGAGTGTATGTGTTTAAGTGGTAGATGAGTCAATCTTGTAAAATGGAGGAGAACCTTCTATTTATAGTTGGAGGATTCAAGCTGGTAATCATGATCCTATGTGCGGGCAGGTGTGGTATAATTCCTAACCCGCTTCCCATTGGTTGTCTGCATGAGAGATATCTTTAAATCGCGTACAGGTTTAGCAGGTGGACAATTCTCAGCCACCCATAAGCTTGATGTTCACCTGCCTCACTGACAATGACCTTACCCCTCTTGAACTTGCAGGACGTGGTTGCATCCAAATGGCAAAAAACCTTCCTGAATTCAGGTTGGTTTCTGTTGACGCATGCTTACACCGGTCCTTGTTCTTGGGCATAACAGAAGCACCCCAGTTTTTAATGTTTAAGGATTAAGCCTTGAGAACTTCATGGTTATGCTGCAACTCGGTTTGTCCAGGATGGCGCTCGATTGAGCTGATCGAGCTGCATGGATTCCTGAGAATTGTACTTAGCAACCTGGTGTGGTTTTTTATGGTAGGTTTAGCGACCTGATTCAAATCGTGATTGGTGTCATATCAACATGCCTTGAGCCGCGACCCTGACTCGCAACCTCTTCAGATGTTATCCGTTGTGCGTGATGGTTCACCTAACCAATAAAATATTCTTTATTCTAACAAGCTTGTCCGTTACGCAATAAGTGCCAGCCATGCGCATTTAATACGAGCCATGCTGAAACGACATTCTCCTTCAGGGCATTAAATGCGGATAGGGGTGCATTTAATGTGGAGGAGGGTAACCGTGCCTTTGTTTGGTTATTCCAATGAAAGGAAACGTCGACTGGTATTTCCGAAGCATAAGAGTTACTCTTCTCGCAGATTAACAACATGTGGTCGTAATCAATGGTAAGACACGTGTCCCGCCCAAACGTCGCTTGCTCAGAAAACCAATTGTCATGCATCCTTTATAAAACCCAAATTTGTTTCAGATTGTTGTCATAGATTTTACATTCTCAGAAAAAAGAACGAAACTCTTGCAAAAATCTGTCCGCCTTCTTCCGTTGATGTGCATCGTCCGTTACGATAGAAGACTCTTCCTACGCTGCCAAGAGGTAAGAAGAGTTTCATTCTTGCTTTCTCCCATTATTCGACGGTTTTGTCCAATGTGCTTGGTAATGGCAGGCATGGGCTATCTGGTGGGTTTTTACAGTGCGCATCCCCAAATAGTGGTGAGGAGAGGGGTTTAGGGCACAGATCCTTAGGGGTTCACCCTTAAAAGGTTTTAGAGGGTTTTACTAGGGTTTTAGAAGGATGTATTAGGGTTTCCTTCGTTCTTCTACGTCACCATACGAGGACTGGGCCTTTTTTCTTTCTTTTATTATATTATATATATATATATATTTTGGTTGCCCCCTTTTCAGACCTTAGGAACAATGGACATCTCAGCGACTAGGGAAGCCGAAGGTACGAGCTCGTAGGCGCTAACCGCCCAAGCGGGTCTCGTGCCAGAGACCTTATCGGTGATCACCCGAGACAAGATGCAAAAGGCAGTGGACTAATACACGCTTAGCATGAATGTCTATCAGCACAGAACCCGTACGGCTCGAAATCCCCCTGAGGGAAAGGCTGCTATCTCGGAGATGATCTTTAAATTTGGGGCATTGATACCTTTTCATCTTTTTTTAGGGTCGATCCTTAAACACTTCGAGGTCGCACCAATTCAATTGACGTCCAATGCATATATGATAGCTATTGCTATGCATATCACTTGTGACAAAAACGGCCTTAGTGAGCTGACGACATTAGATCTCGCGTGCTCTTATTATCTAAAGAAGAGCAAAGACAAAGACTCTTTCTACCTTTTGAAGCGATTTACGATCAAGGGAGGAATATTCAATTACCCCAGCAACGTCGGGGCTTATGAAACTAAGTTTTTCTTTTTTGAATATGATGGCGTTTGCTAGTTTAGGGAGCCAAGTAGGTCTTTCCTTTTTATTTGTGAACTGTTCCACCTTCGATTTTTGTATCTAACAAAAATTTTTGTCTCTTCGCAGGAAATAAGACGATTAGGTTAGGGAATCTAACATATTACAATCGAATTGTTGCGTTCGACTGTCTTCCTGACCATTATCGCGACGCTAAATTGCTCTTGACAACTGCTAACTTGAGGAAGTATGACTTTTTTAACCCAAAAGCGTCCTTAGAGTCAGGCCGTGAGTATCCCCATACTTAGAATATTTTTTGGTTGCCTGCGGCGACCTGTCTTACTAACATATTTCTTTGGTACACAGCGATCATGCCACCCAAGGTGTTGAGAAAGTTCGTGTTTCCTCGGGTCAATTCGACTGAGCCAGTCAAGGCGGTCCCTGGTGATATCCTCACAAGAGGGATACAAATTGGCACTGAAGGGCAAGCACCTCCAAAGTGACAAAAGGAAGCTCCTCGACTTGCGGCTACTTGCGCCCCCAAGCAGAAAACCAGGGGCCAAAAGACTAAGAAGAGAAAATAACTATGAGCTGAGGAATCGGAGTTCGAGTCAAAGGACACTGGGGTGCAGCCTTGGAGTTTGTAGCCTTACCAGGCTTTCTGTGGTTGCCAATAGGAGAGCAGGCAAGTAGTAGGTTGATGAGTTGCCAATTCCTATGGAAGCGGGTACGCCAGTGTTGGACTCCATGGGGCAACTTCCGGAGCACTTGCAGTCGGGGGTGTATACCTTACTGGTGTGCCAACTGGCTTCAGCCTTTGAGGAGTTTGTGGCTTCTCGGCCCACGGACCTACTGACCACTGCCCTTCAACTGCAAAGCTAGGTAGGGCAGTTCGTCCTCATCGAGGACTTCAAACTCATTTGATTTTCTAGCCTTAATAATTTTTGAAAAAATAGGAGTTAACTCTTGCTTCCTTTCTTTTGCAGACCCTGCTCACTTTGCACATGGCCTAGCAGAAGGTCAACTTGGACTATGCCAGAGGGGTCCATGACCTGAAAGAGGAGAATGCCAAACTGAAGAAGGACCTCGAGGATCGGGCTATAGAGGCAATATTGTTCAACCTTTTGGCAAATCTGGCAGAGAAAAACTCTGCCCTTAGTATCGTGGATTTCCAGAAGGCCAAGCTCGAAAGGAGAGGTAAAGAGGTCAAACAACTCAAAAGAATAGTAGCCAGGCTCACCAAAAAGGATGGCAAGAAAGAGAAGGAGTTGAAGGCGAACTCGGAGTGCCTCACTAAGGCAGAGGAAGAGAGAGCTCGATTGTGGGAAAACTCCGAGAAGCAGAGGAGAGCATTAGAAATGGACCTCGAGCTCTCCCGAGGGCATGTCACTTCATTGACCGACCAGATAAAGTGGTAGAACCTTGAGCTTGAAAGGAAAGTAGATGACTAGGCAACTCAAACCATTTATGTCTTGCAACCAAGGAGCCCAGGAATGGATCTCTTTTACCTCTCGCCTAATTATCAAGACATTCTTGCTTCTATGGCCTAAGCTGACGACGAGGCCGGGGAACAAGAGCCTCCTCCAGATGATGATTAGCTGAAGGAATATGTCCTTGAGGATCCAGCGGTTGACTTGAGAGTCGATGACCAATTGGGGGACGATGAGGTCGTGCCCGCAGATCTTGGGGGTGGAGACCAGTGATCACTTTTTTTTTTTGCTTTTGACTCTTTTCTTTTTGGCTGTCCACTGTATCTTTGTAAATTATAAATGAAAAGAGTTTTCTTTAGACTTTTACAATTTCGAGTGCTGTACAAAACTAACATTACATCTTATCAAGAAACT